TGGTTTGGGCCTGTTTTGCTGCATCTGGTCCAGGACGGCTTGCCATCATTGATGGAACAATGAATTCTGAATTATACCAGCAAATTCTGAAGGAAAATATCAGGACATCTGTCCGAGAACTGAATCTCAAGAGAAAGTGGGTCATGCAGCAAGACAACGACCCCAAGCACACAAATCGTTCTACCAAAGGATGGTTAAAGAAGAACAAAGTTAAAGTTCATAGGAGGAAACCCACCAACATCACAGAGTTGAAGTGGTTCTGTACTGAGGAATGGGCTAAAATTCCTGCAGGACTGATCAGCAGTTCCAAGAAACGTTACTTGCAGTTATTGCTGCAAAAGGGGGTCACACCAGATACTGAAAGCAAAGATTCACATACTTTCGCCACTCACAAATATGTAACACCGGATCATTTTTCTCATGACAAAGTATATATTTTTGTCTCCTTTGTTTGATTGGATTCTCTATGTCTACTTTCAGGATTTGTGTGAAAATCTAATTATGTTTTGGGTCATATTTATGCAGAAATATAGAAAATTCTAAAGGGTTCACAAACTTTCAAGCAGCACTGTATGTGTTGCTGGTGGCTTTTAAGAATCTGAGTGTTTTCAATATATCCCATATTTTATAATTCATACTTACTAAGCATGTGGGCAACCTTAAGCACGCGGGCCATGAATGACATACAACCTGCAAGAGCGACATTAATATTAAATGTATGTTTCGTTATTTATTTTAGAAGTGTCGAATTGTCTCACACTCACATGCTCTTGCAGTTGCTAATCTAAAAAAATATTGCTAAAGTCATCAGTGAGTGGGCAAAATGGAAACCTGGAGTGGAGCAAGTGATTACAGAACATTTTGAGCTCTTCTGTCAGTCCAAACAATGTTCCAGGCCTTGATGTTCTGTTTGAACAAACTGGTTCAGTGAATGACTCAATGACTTACTCATAATAGTCACTTGTCAACAACACTTACTGGTGTAACTATGTAAAGCACAGAAAGAGCCACTGAAAAACTAAAGGTAAATGAACAAGCCTTAGTCATATAAAATGGTGAAAAAGACACATGGGGGGAACAGTGACCTTCAACCCGTCTGGCCCATGTTAGCAAGCATGTTCATTAGAGCTCCAAGTCACAGCACTAATTAAAGAGAGGTTTCACTAGGTAGTATTTTCACTGTAAACCTTCTATTGTGTGTCCTGTTTGTTCTTTCATTTCTCCATTTAATTTCTATTTAATATCACCAGGCAATAAGAGCAGCTAATGATTGACGTTCTGAGTGAGCTAATGAACCTGAACATTAAGCCACAGAAGAGGCAGTTCTCCATTAGTACTCCAGAACATGATTTGCACTGTGCACGTAAAAATTCACACACACACACACATTTCCTCCTTTGTTAAACTAGCACTATGTAAGACACCTATAGAATAACTCAATAAACCATTTGTCATGATACAACATACAAAATGTTGGTTGTAAACAGAAAAACTGACATTTGAAACCCACCAGGTGATTTTTTTAATAATAATTCTAGTTCTTTTATTTAAAACAAAAACAAAAAACAACAACAACCAGTAAAAGTTATCAGAATCAGTTTGTGAGTGTATGCAGGGTCCAAATGTAAAGTGTAATTTCATGGCCAAATATAATTTTTTTTTTCCAGTAAATGTTGTTAATTTTGGACCCTGAGTGTATGTGTCCTGAGATCCAGTAGGGGCTCATGTGTTCAAACATACCATTTTCCACCACAGGATGAGGCCGTTGATTTCTCGATGGGCTCTGGAGAGTCAGGAGCACTGAAACAAATCAAACCATCAATTCTGCTTGACAACACTACAATAACTACGATAAATAATGAATAGCTACTCATCTTTAGCAAAATAAAAACAACGTTCTGGATTAAAAACAATTTTTTGTTTGCTTTTACAAACTGAGAGACAACTTGAAACTGGTAACAAAATACTAATAAACTTGAGAGCATTCATTTAAAAGCGTTGTTAGTCTAAACGCTAAATGAACATTGAACAAAGAGTTATTAACAGTTTCACACATGAAGGGCCCCCACATTTCACTTTTTCAGTGCGTCTCGTTTGAAATGCATAGTAGGATTCACTGACTGGACTATTCCACTGACATTGCTCTGCCTTATGTAGTCCGCCCCTTTTCAGCACTGTGCAGCACTCTACAATAACTATACACTGCACCAGCGAATTACTCTTCATCAGGGATGCTATAGAAAGATGCAGATGTTCTAAAATGACAAAATTCTAAAGATGGCTGTGTGCTTGTTTCTCTAATGCGTAAGGTCTATAGGCCAGTGGTTCTACTTCTTTATAAGCACATCAAAATAAAGAAATAATGAAATAGCACCCCCATAGTAAAACACATCACTATAAGGTTGTTCAACTTGATCTAGCTTTGTCAAATAGGAAGAGTTGTAAAGAAAAGCCATGTTTCACTTGGTTTTCTGATTGCCATATGAGTGTACATGAACACAAGTTACATGACAGTGAAAAGAAGTCATATCACATAAGTACATTTAACAGAATTTAAGAGAAAGAACATGTCAGTAGTATGTTTAGGCATAACGGTACTGTCACCGCAAAAATGGTTTCATGTAATAAAAAGATCTATTTAACCTTCCCCAATCTATTTATAATCCTTCCGGGTTCCCCCGTTTTTTTTTTTTTTTTTTTTTTGCTTGGTCACAATATATATTTTAAGAAAATTAATTGAAAGTTAAAATTGAAAGTAGAATTAATTGAAGTCTGAATTCTACTGGTACATTAAGCCAATATAAATTAACAAGAAGTCTACACAAGTTTGTTGATATGCAGGGATCATCATAGGAATAGAGTCTTGAATTTAATTGTTCCTTTACGCCAATGTTCTTAGCATTTCACAACACAACCATAACATAACCTGAGGATAGGATGCATGGGTAATGCAAGCAAATGTTTATTGTATTTGTATTTATTTAATATGCATTTATTTTTTTTCATTTAATCTAGCACTTAGCTTAGTATAACATAATACAGTATTTAATTGAATATAGTTTTAGGGGTATGTGACTACAAATGAGGAGTTTGAGAGAACGTGGCTCCTGCACAGACATCATAACAGAGCCTTAAACAGTTTCCGCCAATGTTCTTACAAAGTATTTCACAACACAACTTGACTCACAACAACAAAAGCTGAGACAGGGAAGGATAATGCAAATGTTTAATGTATTTAACATAACATCTAAACTTAAACTGAAAACTTAGTTTCACAAGAGCTTAATATTTGTCTAGAATGTTTGCGGCCTCAATTGTGAGGTTTGAGAGAACTTGGATCTTGCAGAAACTTTTCGGACATGTGTAGCGGACCTTGTAGTCCTGACAGACCCCTCCTCCCTGCTGATTATTCACGCATTCAAAGCCCTGTAGTGGATCAAATCTGCAGAATCAGAGCAGATGGCTGTTAATCATTACAAATCATACAAAATTCTAAAATTATTGTTTTTATTGCATATATATATATATATATATATAT